ATGGTGGCTCAGCCTGTAATCCCAGCACTTTCAGAGGCTGAGGTGAGTGGATTGTCTGAGCAAGTCCAGTCCGGGCAACTTGGCAAGACCTCATCTCTACAATAAAAAAAAAAAATTAGCCAAGTTGCCCAGACTGGTCTTGAACTTGTGGATTCAGGTAATCCTCTCACCTTGGCCTCCCAAAGTGCTGGGATTATAGGCAAGAGCCACTGCACCCAGCCTATCTTTTTTATATAATAATTTCTTCTCCTTTGGATAGAAACCCTATAGTGGGATTACTGAATCATATGGGAGTTCTATTTTTAGTTCTTTGAAAAATTTCCATGCTGTTTTCCATAGAAATTGTATTAATTTATATTCCCACCAACAATGTATAAATAGTTCCCTTTTCTCTGTAATCTCACCATCAGTTATTTTTTGTCTTTTTAATAACAGCCACTCTGAATGGCATAAGATAATATCTCATTGTGGCTTTAATGTGCATTTCTCTGATGACTAGTGATGTTGAATTTTTTTTTTTTTTTTTTTGAGTTGGAGTCTCACTCTGTCACTCAGGCAGAAGTGCAGTGGCATGCTCACAGCCACCATGGCCTCAACCTACTGGGCTCAGATGATCCTTCTGTCTCAGTCTTCCTAGCAGCTGCAATTACAGGCATGCACCACCACACCTGACTAATTTTTTGATTTATTGTAGAGATGAGGTCTCATCAAGTTGTCAAGACTGGTCTCAAACCCATGAGCTCAGGCAATCCTCTCACCTGGGACTCCCAAAATGCTGGGATTATAAGTGTGAGCCACTGCACCCGACTGATGTTGAATATTTTATTTGAGAAGAAAGATTTACAATTTGGAGCATACACACAAACTATGCAGTCTTCAGTATGTCTAAAGAGATGGTTAGATGTTTTATTAAAAAGGAGAAATGTTACATATTGCTCTTTGAGAAAGTTTATTGGCAGTAGTAAGGTTTGGGGGAGCTGGCAAATTTTGATTGTAAGTGACAGCAATAAGTAAAATCTTGAGTCACAAGAGGTTGTTTCAGCACCTATTAGATAAAAATTGGCTTCAGGTTATGGCAGGCAGTTTCAGCAACCAGGCTTCAGAGAATTACATTCTTGGAGCAATGTTATGTGCCCTGAATGCTTTTTTCCCATGGATTCTTTATTCCGTTTGAGTTGGATAAGCAAAAAATAATCCAGTTCATATAATCAACTTTCACATATGGTTCTGTTCATTTATTTCTATTGCAGTTGTTGCTTATCAGTGTGCTAGCTCTTTTAGACCGTGAGCATATATTTCCCATCCCTAGATGCTAATTTCTATTATGGAAAGGTCACAACAAGGCTCTAATTAGTGCTCTTGTTGAGTGTAAGGAGAGAAGAGTGGAAGGAGTCTATTAGAGGAACAACAGACAAATAAAATTGCTTTTGGGAATTGGAAACATGACAGAAGGTAAAACAATCAGTGGGGTGATTGGAAGATAATATGGAGGAACCTCTAGGAAATTGGAACAAAGTGAAAAATGGAAAATAAAAAAAGCAATATGTTCCTAAAAGTGAATATCTAAATAATAGATATCTCTATAAGACATAAACATGAGAGAAGAACTATACCAAAGAAATTAAGCAAGATAGTTTGTCAGAGCTGAAATATCTATTTACAGACTGAAAGGGCCCATTCATTTAGTGGTATATGGATTAAAAGAAGCCCATATCTAGATATTTGCATATCTGAGAGAAAAAACAGATTTCTTAAGATTCCAGAAAGTGGCTGGGCTTGGCAGCTCAGCTTGAAATCCCAGCGCTTTGGGAGGCCGAGGCGAGAGGATTGCCTGAGCCTGGGGGTTCGAGACCAGCCTGGGCAACTTGGTGAGACCTTGTCTCTACAATAAATCACAAAAACTAACTGGGTGTGGTGGTGTGCATCTGTGGTCCCAGCTACTTGGAAGGCTGAGGCAGAAGAATCGCCTGAGCTCAGCAGGTTGAGACTTCGGTGGCAGTGAGCGTGCCATTGCACTCCAGTCTGTGTGACAAGAGTGAGACTCCAACTCAAAAAAAAAAAAGTCCAGAAAGCAAATACTAGGACATATCCAGTGGACAGAGGTGAGAAATATATGTATATACACACATACATATTTATATAATGAAAGTCATACATTCAGGCAAAAATCTCTAATTCCAATACATTACATGGCTTGTTCTATCTTTGTCCTTTTCCATGTTGTAACGCCCTTCTCCTTCAAGGAGAACTCTGGCTCCTCCTGTCTTCAGTGTGCTGACACATTTGACCCGTTCCCTTTATATGACTGATCTTTTGACCCGTTGTCACTGCTGCTTCCCACAGTGACACCTGGGCTCAGTCACCAACCTGGGCTGCCTTTGCTCCTCCTCCTGCTCAGCTGTCTTCAGTCCTCGGCTCAGGCACTGGTTCCAAGCTGGTGGGCTGAGCTGTCAGTTGCATATCCCTCCTGCCCTTCCTATCAGCTCTACAAGATGGGTTGGGAAGCAAGGAGGGTAGGGAGGCAGGGAAGGAGAGAGAGAGACACTGAATCTTTGTAATAAAGGTTTGCTGTTATCTATGTGTGAGACAACAGCAGTGAAGCTATATATATTTAAAAACTTTAAGAGACACTGAAATATTTATGAATGAAGCGCGTTGGATTTACTTCCAAACGCACGTCCCAGACACTGAATGAGACCCGCAATGGTCAGATGCTGTTCCCTAAACTGGTGGTGTCACTCAAGCCCATTTCCACGGATTTTACTCGGGCTGCCCTGCTCACTTTGGTCTAAGTTCTCGGACATCCCATTTCTGTCTCTGTCTGCTCTGACTACTAGAAAGCGTTTTTCAGTCCTTAAAAATTTTTTTAGGAAAGACGGGGTCTCTCCATATTGCCGTGCCTGGTCTCCAACTCCTGGCCTCAAGCGATCCTCCGGACATGGCCTCCCCAAACGCTGGGATTACAGGCGTGGGTTATCGTGCCCTTCCTCTTGAGGGCCTCGGAATTCGCTCTCAGCCACACCAGGGCTGACTGAGCCGCGAGGCGCACTCGACCCCGGAACTACTCCTTCCAGCAGACTAGAGCTCCCGGCCGACTTCGGAAAGAACGCCATTGACAGGCAGAGCCGAGTTGCATGCTGGGAGCATTCCTGTAGTTCCGGTCTCAACTTCCGGGCATTCTTCCGCGATGAACTACATTTCCCAGAAGCCTCCAAGGCACAGGTCTCTTAGGGTCGGGGCGAGTTTGCTTGCGAAACGCTGTCTCTGTCTTGCTCCCGGACTCCGAGATTTTCTTTGCTCTTATTCCCATAAGCCTCTGGGTCCCTTTCCAACGTCCTCAAGGTTCTTGGACTCTGCGCGGTGAGTTGGTCGCGTCCGTAGTAGTAATCAACCCAGTGAGGCTGGGAGGGCTCCAGTGGACTTCGCCCGGGTCCGATCGGAACCGGTAGTAAGGGTGGGGACGGGGTCGGGGGCGCTAGAGGTCGGGGAGACTCCTGTGACGGACAGGGCATGTCGTGTAGGAGCCTCGAGCCTGTGTGTGCGCGAGCGGCTGAGGGGGTCAGAGGGTGACAGGCGGCGTGACAGGGCCGGGGTGTGTGTCCGCGATGTTGGGTGCGGTTGGGGATGTGTGACGGGGTGATGGGGTGTGCGGACGCCTTTGTAAGTGTGGCTTGCTGCGATCAAGTGCTGCAGATTTCCTTTGGGCTGTCTTTGGTTCTGCCACAGTTAAATGACCGCAAGAAAGAGGTCCGTGCTAAGCCCCAGAATGAACGTTTCAAGCAAGAAGGATGAGAATCTTGGATTTGGAAGTGTCCTCGGAACAGGCTCCTGGGAAGACATGATGAGGAGGTTCTAGAGGTGGGATTCCTGGGGCGGGGGTGGAGGGGTGGGGCGCTCTAGGAGCTCTCTGGGGGCCAGTGACATGTTTCAGAGTCCCTGCAACCAGACCTCTGTCCCCAAGACTTGCTGTAAACTCAGAATCAGACTCTAAACAACTTTTAAATTCCGTTTGGTTGTGTGGATGCGTCCCTAGAGGGTGTTTTGGTTTTGAGTTCTTAATTATGTCTGTCTGTGCTGTGAGAAATGCTGGTATCTCATGATTCCCTCTTTTCCCCAGGGTCCCCAGGTTCTTAAGAAGGACCTTGAGGAGGAGGAAATAATTTTTGCATATTTAGAAATCAAAGTTCAGATGAATTTGTGTTTCTTTTTTAAACAATTACTTTTGTTTCTAGATCATGAAAACATTTGTTTTCCTTGGTCTTAAATAGCTTGACTAGTAGTGTCTATACTAGGTCTTCCTGGTGAGTGACCCACCATGCTGGTGCATCCTTCTTCTCAGTGGCATCTGACTGTCCTTCTCCTCAATGATTCGCCACCTATTTGTATGGCAAATTGTTCAAATCCTCCAGTGCTTTCTGATAGTATTTAAAAAAACACTTCCTGGAGATTAATGTTAGAGCCTTACTTTAGACTATGATTACTTGAGGAGATTAGTAATTAGGTGGTATTATGTACAAATATTTTTTATTATTTTCATAGTCATGATTTTTAAAGCAAGGCAAGGTTGCAGACAATAAATGACAATAGTATCTATTTTGTGAGGCTTTTAGGCATGGAAATGTGATTGAACTTTGAGCATATGGGTTTGCACCAACAAGAGCAAGGACTTTCAGATAATCTTCAGGCAGAATGTGCAACATAACAAGCATTCGTTGTTTCACATCCAGTTTTGTGTGACTTGTGAGAGGCAGCACTATGTTGCAGTTAGGCTCTGGAGTTTGAGTATCTGAATTCAAATCCTGGCTCTGCCTGTTGCTAGCTGTGTGTGCTTAGACAATCTATGCCACAACTATAAAATGGGGACAAAAATGATACCTACTTAATGGAGTTGTAATGACATAAAGTGAAGTTAAAATGTGTAAAGCTCTTTAGAGCAGTGTCTGTCCCATACTATGGGCTTTCTAAATATTAAGAGTTGGACTGGGCGTGGTGGCTGACACCAGTCATCGCAACATTTTGGGAGACTGAGGCAGGAGAGTTACTTGAGCCCAGGAGTTCAAGACCAACCTGGGCAACATAGTGAGACCTCATCTCTACAAAAAAATGAAAAAATTAGCTGGGCATGGTGGTGCTTACCTATAGTGCCAGCTACTCTGGAGGCTGAGGCAGGAAGATCACTTGAGCCCAGGGGGTTGAGGCTGTGGTGAGCTATGATTGTGCCACTGCACTCCAGTCTGGGCAACAGAGTGAGACCCTGACTCAAAAAAAAAAAAAAAAAAAGAGATGATGTTATGTGGCATTTATGAATCATTCCCCATTAACTTTTTTTAGATCAGGAGCAGCAGAAATACAAAGATTGTGAGGGGTGCTTGCAAGTCAGAAAAAAGTGGCCAGATGCTCAAATGATCTTGGACAGGAAATCTTAACCTGAGGTCTTCTTTGTTCATTGACGAGTGTCCAGGGATCATAAACTCCTTGAAATTCAGGCCAGGATTTTTGTAAATATTTGTAAGTGTGTTTTTTCACATGGGCAAAATGTATATAATTTCATGAGATTATCAAAAATGAACATGACCCACAAAGATCTAGCTTCACTGGTCTGGAACAGAGACTGTAATAGTTGGGAAGGAGCTTAAACTAAATGAGTGTCTAATATAGTGGAAATAGTTAAGTAAATTGCAGCATATCCTGTGATGGAGTAATACGCACCTTAAAAAAATTAGGAGTATGGAGCATCAAAAGATGGAAAAATATAAATGGTATAATATTAAGCAATTACTATAGTTATGAACAAGAGTATTTGAGAATAGTCTGAATCCCATCTAATAAGACAGGGTTTTGGAAGACATTTTTTTTTTTTTTGAGTTGGAGTCTCTCTGTGTTGCCCAGGCTGGGGTGCAGTGGCATGCTCACAGCCACCGCAGCCTCGACCTGCTGGGCTCAGACGATTCTTCCTACTCAGCCTTCCAAGTAGTTGGAACTGCACGCGTGTGCCACCACACCCAGCTCATTTTTTGATTTATTGTAGAGACAAGGTCTCGCCAAGTTGCCCAGGTGGGTCTTGAACCTGTGGACTCAGGCAGTCTTCTCACCTCGGCCTCGCAAAGTGGGATTATAGGTGTGAGCTGCTGCGCCTGGTCTTGGAAGACATTTTTAAAGGATGTTTCAAAAATGTTATTTTAGTTGGTCATTCAGTGAAGTGGAAAGCTACACTTATTGAGCATCTACTCTGTACTAAATACTGTTCTATTTATGTACATATATTTTCTTTCACAGACGTTGGAGGTGGCTTACCTAATTGGTGTTGACTCACAGAAGAATCGTGAAAGTGTCTCACTGTGTTGATGAGTAACTTCTACAGGATGTTCAACAGCTGGTAGGTGTAATTTTTTTCAGGCCTACTGATTTTCAGTGTTGGTCTCATTTTTTTTTCAGTTTTTTTTTTTTTTTGAGTTGGAGTCTCACTCCATCACCCAGACTGGAGTGTAGTGGCACACTTCTGGCCACCGCAGCCTTGACCCTCTGGGATCCAGCGATCCTTTCGCCTCAGCCTTCACAGTAGCTAGAATTACAGGCACGCGCTACCATGCCCGGCTAATTTTTTATTTATTGTAGAGATGAGGTCTTGCCAAGTTGTCCGAGCGGGTCTTGAACCCGTGGGCTCAGGCAATCCACTCATCTTTAGCCTCCCTAAGTGCTGTGATTACAGGTTCAGCCACCGAGCCTGACTTTTTCAGTTTTTTAATGACTGAAATATATCCCCTCCTGTCACTCAGTTGTTTCCTATTGAAAATGTCTTTATATTTCTAATGGAATTAATGTAAAGCTTAGTGCAAAAAATTCAGCAATTGAAGAAATGCATAGAGAAGGAAGTTAAAATTACTTCCTTTAGAGTTATTCTTAATATTTTAGAGTAGTTTTATTCACGTCTTTTTCCTGTGAGCCTTTGTGTCTGGCTTTGTTTCTGCAGAATAAAACGACAGTAATTGGTGAGATAAATGAGTTGAAGACCCTCTAGCTCTTAGGTTGAAAAAGAAATCCAACCCAGCTATCGTTTTCATTTTATTTTTTGAATTGGAGTCTCACTCTGTCACCCAGGCTAGAGTACAGTGGCTTGCTTACATAAGGCCACCGCAGCCTCAACCTGCTGGTCTCAGACAGTGCTCCCACCTCTGTCTTCCAAGTAGCTGGAACTACAGGCATGCACCACCATACCCGCTAATTTTTCTTGATTTATTGTAGAGATGAGGTCTCGCCAAGTTGTCCAGGCTGGTCTTGAACCCTTGGGCTCAGGCGATTATCTCGCCTATGCCTCCTGAAGTACTGGGGTTACAGGTGTGAGCCACCACACCCAGCTGGGTCTTATTTTAATCTTGAGTGTTTAGAGAGTAAAGGGAGGTGCCATTGACTCCCTTCTTATTTGAAAACCTTCCAGTATTTACAGCCTTTAAGATTATAGAAATGCCATTTAAAAATCAATTATCAGGGCAACAAAGACAGACTTTTAGAATTAGATTATTTTAAAGATTACTTCTACAGAGAATAGCAATAATCTCCAGTGTACAGCCATCTCACAAGAAAATATATTTTACAAATAATGTTTCCAAGGACAGATATAAATACCAGAAGGTAAAATAAGAAGGTTATAGTTGTAAATATTCAAGAAAACCACCAATTGGTACAGAACAAGACTGAGCCTCTGATTAAGTTCTCAGCTTGACACCTAATTGGTATATTGAACAGACAGGATGCCGAACGTGTCTTTCCATCTGCGTCTCCTGGGAGGATGGGATATTTTTGCTGTATCTTTTTGAGAACCTGTTTTGCTCCCATTGTTATTTAGGAAGAATAGTGAACTCAAGACTGAGCTGTCAAATTTTAGTTAGCACTGTAAGAAAGTGAGCCTGAGAAGGACAAATTTTACTATGAGCAAAATAGAAAGAGTAGTATTAAGTTTCTTTATTATAATGGGATAAAGGTCAGTAACATTCTTCATCTTCAATAACAATCGCTAAAACTGATATTTAAGCAATTGTTGTATACCATTCAGTATTTTGTGTAGTTTTCTTACTTATTCTTCAATGCAGCCATCTGTGGTAGACTCTGTTCTTATCCCTCTTTTTCTTTCTTTTTTTTTTTTTGAGTTGGAGTCTCACTCTGTCGCCCAGACTGGAGTGCAGTGGCCGGGAGCCTCGACCTGCTGGG